GGGTTTTTTTTCTCCCTTACACGAGCCTGAGCGCGCCCGTGCGCGTGTGCAGCGCCCGACACGCGTGACACGCGTGACAAGAACCTTGTGTGTCATGCACCCCCAGGATATCGGGGGTTATCGCGGCCATAGGGTCCTATAGGGTGCTATAGGGTGCTATAGGGTGCTATAGGGTGCTATAGGGTGCTATAGGGCGCTGTAGGGTGTTATAGGGTGCTGTAGGGCGCTATAGGGTGTTATAGAGTACTATAGGGTGCTATAGGGTTCTATAGGGTGCTATAGGGCGCTATAGGGTGCTCTAGGGCGCTATAGGGTGCTATAGGATGCTATAGGGTGCTACAGGGTGCTATAGGGTGCTATAGGGTGCTAAAGAGTGCTATGGGGTGCTATAGGGTGCTATAGGGCGCTATAGGGTGCTATAGAGCGCTATAGGGCGCTATAAGGTTCTATAGGGTGTTATAGGGCGCTATAGGGTGCTATAAGGTCCTATAGGATGCTATAGGGCGCCATAAGGTGCTATAGGGTGCCGTGTCCGTGGGTGCTGTGTCCGTGGGTGCCGCGTCCGGGGGCTCTGTGTCTTTAAGCAGCCGTGGCTCTAAAGCCGCTGTAGTGACCCGCCCATAATCCCCGCGGCCCTAAGCTGCGGGACTGCGGGGGCAGGGGCAGCGCTCGCCGCTCCGTGTCCGTGCCGTGTCCGTGTCCGTGTCCCTGTCTGTGCCGTGTCTGTGTCCGTGTCGCCTGTGCCCGTGTCTGTTCTAGTCCGTGCCATCCCCGTGTCCGTGTCCGTGCCGTGCCCGTGTCCCTGTCCGTGTCTGTTCTGGTCCGTGCCGTGTCCGTGCCGGTCCGTGTCCGATCCGTGTCACTGTCCGTGCCGTGTCCGTGTTCGTGCGTGTCCGTGCCCGGTCCGTGCCCGTGTCCATGTCGCCCGTGTCCGTGCCCGTGTCCGTGTCCGTGACGTGTCCGTGACGTGTCTGTCCCCGTGTCCGTGCCCGTGTCCCTGTCCGTGACCGTGTCCGTGCCCGTGTCCGTGCCCGTGTCTGTTCTGGTCCGTGCCGGTCCGTGTCCGTGTCCGTGCCGTGTCTGTGCTGTGTCCGTGTCCGAATCGCCCGTGTCCGTCCCCGTGTCCGTGTCCGTGTCTGTGTCCGCGCCCATCTCGTGTCCATCTCCGTGCCGGTCCGTGCCCGTGCCCGTGTCTGTGTCCGTGTCCGTGTGAGTGTCAGTCCGTGCTGTGTCCGTGCCGTGTCCGTGCCGTGTCCGTGCCCGCCTCGTGCCCGTCTCCGTGCCGGTCCGTGCCGTGCTTGTGTCCGTGCCGTGTCCGTGCAGTGTCCGTGTCCGTGCCCGTGCCCGTGTCCGTTCTGATCCGTACCGTGTCCGTGCTGGTCCGCACCCGTGTCCGTGACCGTGTCCCTGTCCGTGCTGTGTCCGTGTCCGTGTCGCCCGTGTCCGTGCCCGTGCCCGTGTCCGTGCTGTGTCCGTGTCTGTTCTGGTCCGTGCCGGTCCGTGTCCGTGTCCGTGTCCGTGCCGTGTCCGTGCTGTGTCCGTGTCTGTTCTGGTCCGTGCCGGTCCGTGTCCGTGCCGCGTCTGTGCTGTGTCCGTGTCCGAATCGCCCGTGTCCGTGCCCGTGTCCGTGTCCGTGACGTGTCCGTGACGTGTCTGTCCCCGTGTCCGTGCCCGTGTCCCTGTCCGTGTCCGCGTCCATCTCGTGTCCATCTCCGTGCCGGTCCGTGCCCGTGTCCGTGTCCGTGTCCGTGTCCGTGTCCGTGTCCGCGCTCATCTCGTGTCCATCTCCGTGCCGTGTCCGTGCCGGCCCGTGCTGTGCCTGTCTCGTGTCCATCTCCGTGCCGTGCCCGTGTCCGTGTCCGTGCTGTGTCCGTGCCGTGTCCATTCCGTGTCCGTGTCCCTGTCCGTGCTGGTCCGTGCCGCGCTTGCGTCCGTGCAGTGTCCGTGCCGGTCTGCGCCCGTGTCCGTGCCCGTGTCCGTTCTGATCCGTGCCGTGCCAGTGCCGGTCCCTTCCGTGTCCGTGTCCATTCCCTTGCCGTGTCCGTGTCCGTGCCGGTCCGTGCCGGGCTCGTGTCCGTGCAGTGTCCGTGTCCGTGTCCGCGCCGGTCCGTGCCAGTGCCGGTCCGTGCCGTGTCCGCACCGTGTCCCAGCAGGGCCACACGCAGTGACAGCCATGTGGCTCACGCTGCTGCTGCTGGTGGCCCTGGCCCTGCTGGCCCTGGGCCGGGTGCTCTATCGGCTCCTGGCCCCATCCGGCAACCCCTTCGCGGGGCCACCCCTGCAGCCACCGCGGCCACTGGTGACTGACCAGCGCGCCCGGGACAGGGTTCTGAAGCGGGGTGAGTGTCCGTGTGTCCGTGTGTCCGTGTGTCCGTCCTGCGGAATACCGCGGGCACAGATGTCACTGTCACACGTGTGCGCAGCGTTCAGTGCCCATCGAGTGCCGGACCGGCTGGACGCTGTGGTCATCGGCAGCGGCGTGGGKGGCCTGGCGGTGGCCGCCACCCTGGCCAAAGCGGGCAGGAGGGTGCTGGTGCTGGAGCAGCACGACCAGGCCGGGGGGTGCTGCCACACCTTCCAGCAGCACGGCACCGAGTTCGACGTGGGTAAGGACACCCCTTGTCACCGCCTGTCACCGCCTGTCACCCCCCTGTCATTCCCCTGTGTCCCCCCTGTCCCCGCTGTGAACCTGCTGCCAGCCCCGGTGTGTGCAGGGCGTGTGTGCCATGTCCGTGTCTTGTCCCTGTCCCCGTGCCATGCCCATACGATGTCCCATCCGTGTCCCTGCCGTGTCCCTGCCATGCCAAGATCCCATCCGTGTCCCTGCCATGTCCCTGCCGTGTCCCTGCCGTGTCCCTGCCGTGTCCCATCCATGTCCCTGCCGTGTCCCTGTCATGCCAAGATCCCATCCATGTTCCTGCCGTGTCCCTGTCATGCCCCTGCCATGCCAAGATCCCATCTATGTCCCTGCCGTGTCCCTGCCGTGTCCCATCCATGTCCCTGCCGTGTCCCTGTCATGCCCCTGCCATGCCAAGATCCCATCCGTGTCCGTGCCATGTCCCTGCCCTGTCCCATCCATGTCCCTGTCATGCCCCTGCCATGCCAAGATCCCATCCATGTCCCTGCCGTGTCCCTGCCATGCCAAGATCCCATCTATGTCCCTGCCATGTCCCTGCCGTGTCCCTGCCATGCCCCTGCCATGCCAAGATCCCATCCCACCCCCTGCTCAGCGTGACCCACACCGGACAAATCCAAACTCCGCCTCCCCCGGCTGCTCCCACCGCGTGTCCACGCCATGTCCCCGATGTCCCCTCGCCGTGTCCCCTGTCCCCGTCCCGCAGGCATCCACTACGTGGGRCAGATGCACGAGGGGAGCCTGCTGCGGGTGGCCCTGGACCAGATGACGGACGGGCAGCTCTGCTGGCACCGCCTGCCCGACCCCTACGACGAGGTGACCCTGGGGACCCAGCGCTACCACCTGCGCTCGGGTAAGGTGGCCTTTGTCACCGCGCTGGAGGAGCAGTTCCCCGCTGAGAAGGAGGCCATCAGGGAGTTCATGAAGCTCACCAAGGTGAGACACCCTGGGGTCACCTCCCCGTGGGGGTGGCRTGTCCCCAAGGAGAGGAGGGGTCAGCTTGGGGTGTGGGGGTGGGGGTGAGAGGCAGGCTAGGGACAAGTTCTGGGGGTGTGGATGTTGGGGGGCAGGTGGCCCTGGGGTCACAGCTGTGACAGTGGTGAGGGCGTGATGGTGGCCAGGCGGGGCGGTGTCGCTGTGGCACATGGTGATGTCACACAGGTGGCCTTGTGGCACGCGGCGCTGCTGGCTGTGCTCAAGCTGTCCCCATGCCGGTTGTGCGAGGTGACAGTGACACTGCGGGTGTCACACAGGTGGCCTTGTGGCACGCGGCGCTGCTGGCCGTGCTCAAGCTGTCCCCACGCCGGTTGTGCGCGGTGACAGTGACACTGCGGGTGTCACACACCTCGCGGCACTGTTTGCCATGCTGAAGCTGTCCCCACGCCGGTGTGGACAGTGACAGTGACACTGCGGGTGTCACACAGGTAGTCTCACAGCACGTGGCGCTGCTGGCCGTGTTTAAGCTGTCCCCACGTTGGTGTGGATAATGACAGTGACACTGTGAGTGTCCCGCAGGTGGCCTCACGGCACTACTGGCCGTGCTCAAGCTGTCCCCACACCAGTGTGCTCGGTGACAGTGACACTGTGGGTGTCACACAGGTAGTCTCACAGCACGTGGCGCTGCTGGCCGTGCTCAAGCTGTCCCCACGCCAGTGTGCTCGGTGACAGTGACACTGTGGGTGTCACACAGGTGGCCTCGCAGCACTACTGGCCATGCTGAAGCTCTGCCCACATTGGTGTGGATGGTGACAGTGACACTGTGGTGTCACACAGGTGGCTTCGCGGCACTGTTGGCCATGCTCAAGCTGTCCCCACGTTGGTGTGGATAATGACAGTGACACTGTGGGTGTCACACAGGTGGCCTCGCGGCACGCGGCGCTGCTGGCCGTGCTCAAGCTGTCCCCACGCTGGCTCGTCACCCTCCTGCTCCGCCTGGGTCTCCTGTCCCGCCTGTCCCCCGTGTTTCGCATGGCCGCCACCAGCCACAGCCAGGCCGTGGCCCAGCTCACCTCCAACCCCGACCTGCGCGCACTGTTCGGCTACCTCTTCTACGGTCAGGGGCTGTCGCGATAGGGAGGGGCTGTCGCGATGGGGAGGGGCTGTCGCGATAGGGAGGGGCTGTCGTGATAGGGAGGGGCTGTCGCGGCAGGGAGGGGCTGTCGCGATAGGCAGGGCTCGTCGCGATAGGGAGGGGTCGTCACGATAGGGAAGGCACCATGGTGGAGGAGGAGGGCTGTATCGCGGTGGAAAGGGCCGTGTCGTGATAGGGGAGGGCTGAGTCGCGATAGTAGAAGGACGGGTTGTGACAGGGGAGGGCCGTGTCGTGATACAGGACTGCTATGTCGCGATAGTAGGAGGACGTGTTGTGCTAGGGGAGGGCACCACAGTGARAGGGGAGGGCYGTGTCGYGATAGGGAGGACCGTTTCGTGACARGGGAGGGCCRTGTCGCGATATRGGAGTGCTATATCGCGATATGGGATGCTATATCGCGATAGGGGAGTGCTATATCGTGACAGTAGAAGGACGTGTTGTGCTCGGGGCGGTTGCCACGGCCAGAGGGGATGGCTGTATCGCAGCCATATCGCGATGAGCAACCCCTTATCGCGACACGGGAGGGCCGCCCCGTACCGCGGCGGGTGCCAGCCGTGCCCGTGTCCCCCCCGTGTGTGTATGTCCCCTCTGTCGCCGCAGGCACGGCCCCGCGGGACTCGAGCTTTTTTGTGAACGCGCTGATGGTGCACCACTACCAGCGCGGGGCTTGGTACCCTCGCGGAGGGGCGAGCGAGGTGGCGTTCCACGCCGTGCCCGTCATCGAGAGCGCGGGCGGCGCCGTGCTGGTGCGCGCCCCCGTCACGCGCGTGCTCGTCAGCGCCGCCGGCACCGCGCTGGGTGAGCCCCGACACCCCCAAATCCCGTCCGTCCCCTCCCCTCACCGTGGGGACGCGGTGACAGCGTTTTGTCCCCAGGGGTGGCGGTGCGGGCGRGAGCCGGAGAGGAGGAGSAGGAGGAGCTGGAGATCCGCGCCCCGCTGGTCATCTCGGACGCGGGGCTCTTCAACACCTTCGGCCGCCTGCTGCCGCCGCACGCGCGCGGACACCCCGGTGAGGTGACACTCGTGTCGCCAAGGGTCCCCCGGAGTCCCCACGTGCC